AAGATGTACTACCTTGACACTAACAAGTTACAATACAAAATTGGTATGGTCCAAGTGTTTATGCCATGAAAACTGGCTAATGCTACAAGTAGGGATTGTTTCTCTTTTTACCTTGGAGGGCTAGTTATTAAACATGTAGTGGGACATCTCTGAAAAAAGCTGTGGTAAATTTGAATGCAACTGATTACAAGTATAAAGCAAAAATGTGAGATGTAAAAGAAACGGGAATGTCCATAATCACAGTTCGAGATTTTTAAACACACCTACCTCATATAATTATAAGAAGCAGACCAAAAAAACAAAAAATTTTGCCCAGTATAGATAAGGAAACAGAGAATTAGTGACTTAACCAAGTACCCCAAACCGATGAGTGAGAGGGGAACTCAGTTCAAGTTTTACGCATATATTTTTAAAAAAATATAATTCATCCATCCATCCATTCATTCATTCATTCATTCGAGAGAAAGAGAGCACAAGCAGGAGGAGCAGCAGAGGCAGAGGGAGAAGCAGGCTCCCTGCTAAGCAGGGAGCCAGATTTGAGACTCCTTCCCAGGACCCCAAGATCATGATCTCACCGAAGGCAGACGTTTAACCAACCGAGTCACACAGATATCCCAAGTTTTATGTATCTAAATCCAATATTACTTCTGCAATGGTTTTATATTACAAAAAAACCTGGTGTTATTTACTTTTAATGACAACTATAATCCCCACATTAATATAAAAGATGGGGAGAAGAGGGAGGCACATTATCTAATTATATACTGTTACAGTTGTACCTTATTTCTAGAAAGCCTTTATATTTAATCTATGTTCTAAAAATATAAAATCTATTGTTACAAAACAAATTATGGGGCTGGCATTGCTATAAAACAGATGAGTAATTTTATTAAGGGATTTGCTACCACCTCCTTGGTGATAACTAGCATGGAGCTTATCTATTAAATCTTCAATGATGTTGTTGTTACTTCAACAAGAGCAGCAGGGAATGCTTACAAAGTGATTGATGGCTTTGTGCCAGGCAGTTTTATACTTCTCCAGGGTAATTTATTGAATCCATTCAACCACCAAATGAGATAATGTGATAGTTAATTTTATGTGTCAATTTAACTGGCCATAGGTGTCCACATTAAACATTATTTCTGGGTGTTTCTGTAATAGCATTTCTGGAGGAGATTAGTCTTTGAACCAGTGGACTCAGTAAAGTAAATCGTCCCTCTCCCACAATGTACATGGGCATCACCCAATCCACTGAGGGCCTGAATCAAACAAAAGGCAAAGTAAGGAAGAATGTGCCTTTTTTGCTCTGTCTGCCTGCTTGAGTTGAGACCTCCCATCTTCACCGGCCCAGAGACTGGATTTTAATCCATTGGCTCCCCTGGTTCTCAGGTCTTTGGACTTACATCACTGGTCTTTCTGGGTCTCTAGTTTACAGGTGGCAAATTGTGGCTATTCTCGGCTTCCATAATTGTGCAAGCCAATTCATCATAACGCTTCCATATAAAAACATAAAATAAAAAATGTATTTATATATCATGCATATATATCATAACAATATTATATGTGTATTATATATAAAATCTGTATTTCTACTTCTATCTATCTATATCTCCTACTGGTTCTGTTTCTCTAAGAGCCCTAACTCATAAAGATTTTTACTTTTATTATCCTCATTTTGCAGTGAAGAAACTGAGGCAGTGAAGAATAATATACCCAAAGTCACACAGCTCATCTCCAGAGTACTCTTAATCACTATATATGCTATATTGTCTATGATTATGTTGATTAAAACTGTGCTTTAAATTTAATATTTCAAAAACAAAAAAAATAAAGTGAGATATTTCTATTATATATATGTATATACATACATATATATGTATATATATATATTTAGTTCTTAAATGATACCTAGAAAAACCATTTATGTCTCTGAAATAAATTTTTTTGGGGGGGGAGAAACAAAAGGTATGGCACATTCTGCTCCTTTTAAAAAGCATTTCTGTGGTTCTCAAGCAGGAAATCAGACATATTTGTTATCACCCCATTAAAAAAAATTGTGGTAAAATGTACAACATAACATTGGTCATTTAAATCCTTTTAAGTGTTAGTTCAGTTGTACTGAGTGCATTCACGTGTCATGCAACCATTATTACCATCCATCTCTAGAACTCTGTCATCATCCCAAACAGAAACTCTGCACTCATTACAAAATTGTTCCCCATTCCCATCTCTCCCAGCCTCTGATAACCTCTGTTCTATTTCCTGTCTTTGAATTTGTCTATTCTTGGTACTTCAGATAAGTGGTAGGTACTTCAGATAACTTGCCCTTTTTCGTCTTATTTCACATAGCGTAATATTTTCAAGGTGATCAGTGTTGTATCAGAATTTCATTCACATATCAGAATTTCATTCCTTTTTATGACCCAATAATTTTCCATAGTATGTACATACCACATTTTGTTAATCAATTCATCTGTGGATGCACATTTGGGTTGTTTCCAGTTTTGGGTTATTCTGAATAATATCTCCATGAACACTTGCATACAAACATCTCTTTGAGTCCCTTCTTTCAATTCTTTTGGGCATATACACAAGTTAGAATTACTGGGTAATATGATAATTCTATGTTTAACTTTTGAGAAACTGACAAACTATTTTCCACAATGACTACACCATTTTACATTCCCACCAGCAACATACAAAGGTTTCACTTTATCCACATCCTTACCAATGCTTGTTACTTTCATTTTGTTTTTTGTTTTTCTTTTGGATAATGTCATCACAGTGAATGTCAAGTGGTATCTACCTATGGCATTGATTTGCATTTTCCAAATAACTAGAGATGTTGAGCATCTTTTCTTTTGTTGGCTATTTGTATATCTTCTTTGGAGAAATATCTGTTAAGTCCTTTGCCCATTTTTCAGTTGGATTACTTTTTATTTTGAGTTGTAGAAATTTAACTAATTGATTAATTAATTAAATTATGGTGCAAAATGGTGGTTTCTTAAAGCATGGGGACAGGATCTGTGGGCAGAAAGAGCTACGGAGGTGTAGGAGTTTAAAAAAATACATCCTGGGGTATTAATTCTTTATCAGATATATGATTTGCAAATATTTCCTCCCATTCTGTGGGATGTCTTTTCACTTTCTTGATAGTGTCCTTTGATGTACAGAAGCTCTTAATTTTGATGTAGTCCAATTTATCTTTTTCTTTTTTTGAACATGCTTTTAGTGTCATCTTCAAGAAATTATTGCTAAATCCAATGTCATGGAGACTTTCCTCTATGTTTTCTTCTAAGAGTTTTATCAGCTTAGCTCTTATATGTAGTACTTTGATCCATTTTGAGTTAAGTTTTATATGAGATACCAGATAAAGGTCCAACTTCATTATTTTGCTTGTGGATATCCATTTTTCCCAGCACCATTTGTTGAAAAAACTGTCCATTTCCTGTTAAATGGTATTGGCACCTTTTTTGAAAGTCAGTTGACCATATATTAAGTTTATTCTGACCTCATTTTGTACAAGTAGGAAATAGACCCTATAATCCTCTTGTAGGTGTATAACAGATACTTTGTAATAATGTATATGTACAGAGGACAGAAGGACTATGCCAGAAAGCTACCCCATTGGTAATACAAGGATATGATAACAAAAGAAGAAAAATGAATACCACCAAAAAAGTTTTCAAGCATATTTTTATTATGGATAGGTAACTGTGGTTTGCTGTGGCTAAAGATATGTTTATAATGGATGTACAAGCTTTTCTATATACCAAAAGGTATAATATTTTTCTTTTAATACTGAATAACATTTCTCTGACAAGGGAAGTCTGAGTGGGCTGAGCCTATTTTAAATGGCTAAAGACTTTTTTCTTCCTGAATGTTGCTTTTAAGACTGGTAAATTGAAGTCTTTTAGGTCCAAACACAGTAAATTTAAGAAGAGTGAGATAAAAATCAATGAATACTACAAAACATGTAATTCCTATGAAGCAGAAATAATGGTTTTTATAATTTAAAACAGCAGCAATTTCAAAAGATTTGCTGAATTAAAACTTTACAAAATATATATATACATAGTATCATTCCAGATGATCATGGATTTTTTAAAAATAGTATATCACAACCCCAAACTCTATCCCAAACCTACTATGGGAAGTAGCTGGCCTGTAATATTTTTTACAACACTTTAAAAAATAAAAACAAAAGAAACCTCCTAATTCTCTTGTGCATAAACACGGGTTACTGTGTGCTGGCTTTGATTCCATATCACAAAGAGAATTTTAAAATAGAACAAGGACTTCACATAAATAAAGTTTTACTTGTTATTAAGCATGTAACTGAACAAATTAAAATAAAGTACTAACAACCAAAACATATCTTGATGTAACCAGTACATACACTCTTAAAGAATGACAAAGACGAAAAAAGAAATAAAATAGTCTATGAAAGCCACAAGCACCTTGTTTTAGGAAGAGCACCAAGCAACATAAAAAGGCAACACGTAAGAGGTAGTGTACCACTGGCTAAGATGTATATGCCCACTGGGGACCTGAATACAACTTAGTGTTTGGGAAAATAAGACATGTTGGACTGTGGCTTGTGATTTTTAGACAGAAGCATCACACATGTGGAAGCATTAGCCAGTATTGCTCCATAGTGCTCTGCATCTCCAGCTGTCTAATGGGTACTTTGCTCTCAGTCAAAAAAATAGAGGCTACCCTGAAGAATTCCATGTTTATAAATTTTCAGTTCTAGGGAATTCTCTAAGAAAGCTCAGATCAATACAATTTTTTAAAGAATTAAATACTTTATCAATTATAGTCCTTTAAAAATGCCTTTTCTCCTTCTTCGGAGGAAATCTTTTCTTCCTGAGATTCTTTAAGATTTAGCCAATGCTTTATTCCATGCATTTCACAATGATAATATCTCTCTGTCTATATTTTTCCCTCTGCAACAATTACCTGGCCAACAGCACGAATTCTGAACTAATTCAGAAACCTTAGAGAAAGCATACAGAACTGCTTTCAATGTAGTACTTCCTTTCGGTTTTGAGATGAGGAAGTTTTTGTACTTCAATGACTGGAAGCTGATTAGGGTCCTGGGTGTGAAAAAGGAATTTTGCCTTATGCCAGCTGCCATCTTGAATCTGTAAAACAAGAACAAAATGCTTTGATATATAATTGTGTCATCAGAAGTCGTTCTCAGCAGACAATGCCCTTCACTCTCAGACAATGAAGATTTAGTTTAAGGATTAGAGATAATGAATAGGAAGTCCCTAGAACAAAGTAAATGCTGGCATAGAGTAAGTGTTTAATGCTAACACTCACTATGACTAATTGAAAACATGGGTTCATTCTTTTCTCCAAATGGCAATGTGTGTTCTGAGTTTTCAGTCCCAGGGACTAAGGCTAGGCTTCTGCTTCTGTTGTCTGTAGATCACTGGACCAGGTATGAATTAAAAGGCTGTACTATTCCTAATATGAGTAACACCCATCTGTTCTCCGAAGGCAGCTGCCCAACCAACTGAGCCACCCAGGCGTCCCTCATGATATAAATTTTAAAATGTGAAGAAAACTCAGTGATTATTTAAGTTATAAATTTCATTTACTAGTCATCAGCTTGGTGTGTGTGTGTGTGTGTGTCTGTAAGACACCATTAGGTTAACTTGTTAAGTCTTTTAAGCAATATTTATTGAATACTAAGTACAAGTGGCACAGCTGAGTAAGATGTAATCCTCTATTTTCTAACAGTCCTTGGGAAATATGAAGATGAATAAATCAGCTCTGGCTTTTGAATAGTAGCAGCTTATAAATCTAGTTGGAGAGGGGAAACATGAACATAGACATAACACAAGACAACATTTGGTGAGTACAGTATAAATAATGTAGACAGTGAACGCTAAATTTCTCATTTACAACTGAAGTACTCAGGGAAAGCCTCATGAATTCAGATTTCAGAATTTAAAATGGGCCTTCAAGTATGCCTAGTACTTCCACTTGGTTAGAGAGGTAGAGAAGGCATTTCAGAGAAAGATAATGACACGAGTAAAAACAAACATACAAAAACCTGTTGGAAAAGTAGATGATTGCAAAAGTAAGCCTAGCATGGGGATGAAGAGCAGATTTTGATAGAAATCCAGGTACCACCATTCTCTTTATATATAAAATTTGAAAAATAAACACTTACCTCACACAGTTGTGAGGATTAAATGAGATTTCAGTTAAGTAGTATAGTGTGGCATGGACTTTGGAGTTATACCCACCTAGGGTTTATTTCTTGCTCTCCACTACTTAGCTACATGACCTTGAGCAAGTTATTTAACCTTTCTGTTTCTTCATTTTCTTACCTATCAAATGAAACTTCTTTATAAAGTTGTTATAATTAAATAAAATAATGTATGTAATACAGAGTAACTGCTATATAATAAGGTCCCAGTGATTAATAGTAGGGATTATTGTTGATATTATTATTGTTATTATTATTAATAGATCAGTTTCACCATACTTTAGGGCTAACAGCCACCGAAAGCCCAAGCTAGAAAGGTTGGGGCCGGACTATTTTAAGCACTAAACAAAGAGCGGATAAGTTTACATTGTATCTCAGAGATAGTAGTGACTCACTGAAAGTTTCCGGAAAAAATTATAAAATTCAAGTGAGTTTGTTGATAATATTGATCTCTTTGCTTTTAGAGAATGAGCCGTATATCTCTGTTTGCCTCTCAGTTTTCAAATACTCAAGCACTATTTGTCTGAAATTAAAATGTTGTGAAAAAATAGAGTTCCCTGGAAATGGTAAGAGATGTTAAATCATGGGCTTCATGGTGCACAAGAGCAGGAAACCAAGCTACTTGAAGTCATTAATGAAATGCATGTGATGTGGATGCTCTTTATAACAGGGTTGGGAAACTCTTCTGTAAAGTGCTAGATAATAAATGTCTTAGGTTTTGTGAGCCACAGTCTCACATTTATTTAACTCTGTCATCCCTGTGTGACAACAGCCATAGATACTAAGTAAACAAATGAGAGTGGCTATGTTCTAATAACATTTATTAACAAAAACAAGTGGTGGGCGGGGCACCTGGGTGGCTCTGTTGGTTAAAAGCCTCTGCCTTCGGCTCAGGTCATGATTCCAGGGTCCTGGGATCGAGCCCCACATCCAGCTATCTGCTCAGCAGGGAGCCTGCTTCGCCCTCTCTCTCTGCCTGCCTCTCTGCCTGCTTGTCATCTCTGTCAAATAAATAAATAAAATATTAAAAAAAAAAAGTGGTGGGCTGGATTTAGTCTGTGAAATGTAGTTTGCTGACACCTGCTTTATACCAAAACATTTTAAAATTATAGATTTTTTAATAATATTAGTTGTTTAATTGTAAAAGAAAAATGGGCTATGATTCAAAAATGGATTGGTAGGGCCAGTCAATCTGCAATTCTGCCCGTATTTGGTTTCAGGTATAGGGACTGACAAAATGAAATACAACAGACTTGCCTCTATAACCTGTCTTCCATATATAATGAGATGTAGAATTACAGTAGGGGAATATACAAAATAAATCTATTTATTTATATGCTCTTTCTACCCATGCAGGAGTAATATAGATATTTCATACGAGCAATAAGAATTAGGTTTATGTATTAACATCTGTTTTGCATATAAAAATCTATGGATGACCAGTGGGTGTGACAGAAGTAGACAAGATATGATACAAGCAAACAATTGATTCTGAAAAATATAATGTTATTACAAATAGGGCACCTTAAAACTTATTACCTTCTGGATCTTCAGTTTGCAATTAAAGTCTTATCCCCATTATTTTAATTTTATGGCTTTTTCAGTTTTATGTTAGCTATATTGAACAATTCTAAAAGTTGCCATCCCTTACCTTGCAGTCATCAGAAAGCACCTTAGGTTCAAGTAGAGTGTTTTCTTCAAAAATCTGGCCATTCCATCCCTTGAAGCCAATAGATAATCCCGAGCCATTTGGCTGAGCACTTGTCCACACTGGTGTGTTTAGACAGTGAATGGTGATGATATGGGTGGCTTCTGAGCTCAGTAAGTGAAGGAAGTTCATCTGGACTTTTCCAACTCCAAACTCCAACTAATGTCATAGAAATAATATACAAGTTATAAGATGTGGCAATTGAACAACTTATAATTTGGGGGAACCTGAGGAAAGTCCTTGAAATGAAGACCTGAGAAAGCCCTTTTCCTTGGCATTTAAGTGCCAGTCAACAGTATGCTGATAAATGCTTAACCACTGGCTCTTGCTGGGTGGAGTGGGGTGGGGGCGGTAATCGCTGATTTACAGCATTTTCCAGTTTCTATGGTGTAACCACTCCTACCATGGCTGACTTCAGGCAATCATGGTGGTATCACTGAACACGGAGTTGGAAAGGGGTGTTAACAATAGGGTCTCCTGAGTCTGTATGAGCTGGCTTCAGCATACCACGAGGCTACTAGACATGACCAAAAAAAGCGAGGTAATTTTCATGTTATCTAAAATGCATTATTTGTTGTTGATTAATTCTTTAATAATTTCTTCCACAAAAATCTGAAATTGCCTATAATTTACTTTGAAGATCTTTTTTTGAGTTTCCAAAGATAGGTTACAAGTTGTAATAATACCTTGTTGAGAAATTTTAACTATGAGAACCTTTAAAGACAAGGATAGAATCTTATTCTTTGTGTTACCAGCCCCTAATGTAGTTCCAGCCATAGAATGGAGTCATCAATAAATGTTTATTGAAATGAATGAAGGCATGAACAAGTACTGATAATAAAGTCAACAATACAGGGCAAAATTGGAGCAAGGAGGTCTGACTAAAGATTTCCTAGGCTTGGAAAAGGAAGTAGATTTTTCTATAGCTTTTGACATTTCTATTAATTTATTTATTCTTCAAGCAGGTGTATAGTTATAACATAAGTGAATGAAAGTGATTTCAACAAGGAATTTATATTGATTTCCAAACATAAAATTAGAAAAATGTCAGTTATGAGGTATCAGAGGGGGGGAAAAAAAAAAAAAAAAAAGACAGGCACCAAAAAAGTAAAAGGAAAAGAGAAGAAAGGCAAAAGAAGGTCAATGAAGATGAAAACATGGAAGGATCATCATAAAGAACATTAGAATTTAAGTAGTTCAGGTTCCTTTGTTTTACAGCTGAGAATCACAAACTTGTAAACTAATCTTTCTGAGCCTTAGTGTCTTTGTTGGTGAAGTGCAGTATGACACTGACACGGCAGGATTGTTGTAAGGGTTTAAGGGGCCAAATGTCACTTACCCAACACAGTGCCTGGCACAGAGTAGGATATTTGGTGGCTCAGAGCATCATTTGCCAGATTAGTAGAGGGGTAGAGGCTAGAACCCAGGTCCCTGATTCCAAGCCTACCATTCTTTCCACTACCTGCCCGGTCTTTCTTAGGTTGAGTTTATGGATAAGAGAGATGGGAGAGTTGATTCAGTGAAGGAAGGAATTGGAGTGCAACAACTTCACTGTTACTATCTCCTTTGTACACGCCTCCTGGTCCTCATCTGTCTTCTATGATAATCCGAATAAAAATCCTGGGCCGAATCCAGGGGAATGAGGATGTTCATACAGATATTTTGGAAGTAAGACTATCATGCTGATCTTCATGAGAAGAACACTCATTCCCTAGGGATGGAAGACTCTTTCCTGCCTGTGGTTTGAGAATAATAATGGTGAATGCTACTGTGATGAACTCGTGAAACACCCTTAATGAAGAGGGATATTTTATAAAAGGCCAGTGAAACAATAAAGAGCTAGAGAGATTAATAGACTGCACATTTTAGCTGCTGCCTCTTTATGATGGACCAAATATATAAGGGGCAGGTCTATCAGTTCTTTGTTGATGAGAAGTAAGTCCTTGGTAACAATACCAAACTGGTTTAGCCAGAAAAAGAAAGAAATGCACTTTTGATTTCTTCAGGATTTTATAGGTAGAGCTAAGCTATAGGTTTCATAAATGCTTGTTATAATTCCAGTATCATACCAAACTAACTTTCATTCATGTTATTATACTTGAAAGGAGTTTTAAAAAATATTCAATGGATGTTTAAACATCCATTGAAGGGAGGTTCTTTGTGCCAAATCATCAAAAATAGCAAGCTTTGTGGTAAAATTCCTCTTCTAATGATGTGATTTTCAGAAAACCTTTAGGTAACTGGTTACTAATTACAAACATTGCAGCTGTTTGGGGGATTTTCTAAGGTATGTATATGCATAAAAACATATGTTGCACATTTTTTGTTTTAGAGAGAGCATGAATTGGGAGGGACTGGGGGGGCAGGGAGGGGAAGAGGGAGAGAGAATCTCACGCAGACTCCTTGATATCACAACCTGGGCCCAAACCAAGAGTCAGCTGCTCAACTGACTGAGCCACCCAGGCGTGCCCTCCCACAACGTTTTTAAAAGGAAATTAAAAAAGCATAATCAGTAGAATAAGCCATGACATGCCAATCATAAAATACACAACCAAAATATCAAGATTCTCCTAGAATTATTTTTTATTTTTATTTTATTTTAATTTTTAAAAAATATTTATTTATTTATTTATTTATTTATCTAACAGAGAGAGAGAGAGAGAGAGAGATCATAAGTAGGCAGAGAGGGAGGCAGAGAGGAGAAAGCAGGCTCCCTGCTGAGCAGAGAGCCCGATGTGGGGCTCGATCCCAGGACCCTGAGATCATGACCTGAGCTTTAACCCAGTGAGCCACCCAGGTGCCCCTCTTAGAATTTTTTTTTAAAAACAAACAAAAAAATTTCTTTCTAATATATGGTAGAGAAGGATATCTTACTTCCATGATTTTATTTTATTATTTTATTTATTATTATGATTTCATAAAAATCATAATTATTTAAAGTGACATTTTTAAAAATCATGCTCACTGATACTGGGCAAGTATAGGCATATATTCTATAATTCAGTACATACCTTTGCTACAGAAACAGGAGATAAACATGTCTGACCACCAGCACTGAAATTGCAGAAAACCTCAATGGCATCTGAAGGGCATCCGAGATTTGGATCAATCCAGTATTTTCCTATTAATTTATTATAAAACATAAAAATATTTAAATTATATACTAAAACATATTTGAACCATCATTACAAATTATCATACTTTAAACATATATTTTTACAGTTTTAACTGTAAAAAAACTTAGAAGATTATAAAGATATTTACATTCAGTCCATGAATGAAAGCAGCAAACGTAATGTAAAATTGATACCAAAAATAGTGTATTTTTCGTATACCTATCAATTTAAGGATTTCAACAAAAAAATGATATAATGGTTGAATTTATTGCTTCTTTCCACAGATGAGCTCATCATCTTAAAGGGAACTGTCTAAAGTTACATAGTTAATAGAAAAGTTGCAGTTGATGTGGTATACTTGTACACTTCTGTTCTATGTCATTATAGAGTTTAAAAATAAATATACAGAAACAACATCAATCTCCCTGAGGTAAATAATATCTTCACAATAATTGGAATAAAAATAATAAAACATCCTTTGTTTCCACAGAAAGAAAATGTACAATTAAATGGTTATCACTTTTGGGCTTTCTTCATCAGATTTCTAAGCAAGAAAAACTGAAATCCCTACAGCCAGTGTAAGCCTACCAAACTTTGTCTTCACCAAATGCCCAGCAGAATCAAATGGAGTCTTAGTCAGCCTACAGGAAATACTCAGGCTGAAAAAGTGTTGATCTAGTATCTTAATTCTGGAATAACAAGCCCAGAATATTGAAGTAGCACCTTATTCTAAAAGCAAAGACTAAGAATTTTTTAATGAGATAGCACTGCTTTTTTGCATTAAAAAGGCAAGACAGTCAAACAGTAGTTGGCAAATGTCATTTCTATCCTTGTCCATTCCATCCTTACCCTTAGAAATCCTTACTAATTAGAAAGATTCTTCTACCTCATGCTGGGCTTCCTCTCTGGCCCATTATTTTAGACTTCCAAAACATCCTCAACTCTTCTTTCCTCTACTATTCTACTAATCCTTCAAAACAAATACTTGTTGAGTTGGTGGCTCCAAAAGTAGGGACTGTCCTCTCCTGCAGTGTTTTCAAATTTTGGTGGCATTAGAACCATCTGTTAAAATACAGATAGCTGGGCCCCATCCCCAGAGTTGCTGATTCATTAAGTTGGGGCTTGAGAATCTGTATTTCAACAGAATCTCATTCTGGTCCAGGGACACTTGAAGAACCACTGATCTCTTGTGATATGGAAGAAAGGGGCAAAAGAAATCTGATCCTCTGGTCCCTTTTTGTCCCCTTCCCTTAGAATTTTGGACAATTTGTAAAGTTTATAGAAATGAGTACCAGATTTTTTTACCAGGATCTAATGTAGGCTTCCAATATTATCTAGTGGGTGTAAAAACATTATCTTCACTACTACCTCTTCTCTTCCAAGATAGTTTCCCCTTCTATTATAATAAATAATAAATTTATTTTATTAATAAAATAAGCTAATAAATTCCTTATAAAAAGTTTTCTATCAAGCATACTCCCGTTGTTTTATAGGGTAGAATTCTTTGAATTCAAGCATTATGTTGTACAATGGTGACCTGGTAAGGACTTTGTAATTGTTTTCAGGATATACTGAGCTATTAATAACGCACTATACCATAATATATCTTTTGCAGGCCTAAATGTTCTAACCTAAAACTAGGTCTCCCATGAGGACAATGCTTCCCTTGCAGTCCTTTCAAGCTCTGCCACAGCCTTTATTAGCATCGTACTTGTAGTACAGAAGGTGTCTTTCTTGCTCTTCATTGCCACCTCCATTCTCTATTTTTTCTCTAAAACAACTCTTTGGTAAAATTAGTGTCATTATATTATGTCCTCCATTACCCCTTCCCATTGCAGTCATCCTTTCTTTCTTTCTTTTTTTAGATTTTTATTTATTTATTTGACACAGAGAGAGAGGTCACAAATAGGCAGAGAGGCGGGCAGAGGGAGAGGAGAAAGCAGACTCCCTGCTGAGCAGAGAGCCTGATGTGGGGCTCGATCCCAGGACCCTGAGACCATGACCTGAGCCAAAGGCAGAGGCTTAACCTACTGAGCCACCCAGGTGCCCCAAGTCATCCACTTTCTTTGAAGATTTTAGCATTGGATGCCTATGACTTTCAGAAAATCTATGTATTAGCCAATTCTTGATGATTTTAAATTCTCATGGCTAGCACTTCCCATACCCTGGCCTCTCAGTTCCCTGAACTCTTCTGCCAAAGTTCTCATATCCTTCCCCTGCTCTCCCGACTGCCCCATTCACTTCCCAGGCCGTATCCTGGCCTTTTTTTATCTATCACCTACAACTAGAGTTATGTCATAATCTCACTCCTTCTCTTTTAGGCTCATTCACTCTGGTGTCCTGAGTCTATCTAATAAACTCTTCCTTCCCATCAGAGGATATCCATTGATACTACCACTTTTTTCATCATCCCTCATCGTATTAGGATCATATGTTCAATTCCCTTCCTACCCAAGTAAAAACCCTGAGTCCTTTACTATAATTACTTCTTTGAAGACTTAATATCCCTGCCCTGCCTCACTTCAATGAACTTGTCTTATAAAGTCCTAACCTTATAGAAGTCCAATTTTGTGCCTGATCTGTGCCTGAATTTATACAGCTAAATGTGGCTGAAGAAAAACTCACTTTAAATTCAAATGTTCATAAGGTTTCCAGAAAATGACACTATGTTTCCCTCTGTCACTCTCCCAGTTGATTATTTAAAACCTTTTCTTTTCTTCTTCCCTCAACTTTATTATACCTATTCCTTCATTTTATTCTTGACCGATAACCTTTCAATTTCACTGAGCCATCCAAAGCCATCTGAAAGGAACTTCTATAACTTCCCACTATTACATCTATTTACCTATTTGAACTTGCGCCCATATATTCTGCCTTCCTTGTTACAATTGTGAATACGCTGTGCTCCTATATAGGGCTTACCTTGCCTATTATACCTTCAGTTTCAAATTCTTCCTCTCTTATTTTTCTTTTAAGTCTAATTCTGTTTACTGTTTCTGTCAGTTCTCATTTTTGGTGTTTTATCAACCAGTATGCCTCATTACCATTGATTGTGTGCTGGGCACTGTGTTTGAGAAATAATTTGTAGAAGTATTTTGAGCCCTAGGATGATGATATATTTTATAGAAGACTTTTGTTTCCGTCAAAATGGGGTGGGGGTTCTATCCATCTGGAACCATCTTAGTCCAAGTTCAAAGCTTTAGATTCTGAGCTATCTTCATGAATGTGAAGCTAGGCTACAATCTATATGAATGTCTCTTTTCTTCCAGTTTATGTTTGCTCTTAGAATGGAGCCCTTTGAAAGCCTAAATCCCCACACTCAGTGGACCACAGATGCTAACTTTTGACTCTTAGCCCCATGAAGCCACCAAAAGCCGTATTTAGTTTGTGAACACAAGTAGGGCAAGAGCAGCTCTAAGTGTGTTCATCTCTCCACTGTCTTCTTTGAAATGTTGACTTGAAATGTTCTCAGTATTCTGTTACCTATTTGATGCTTGTAACTTAAAAAACAATTTAGCCAGGCAACTTGAATTACCTGCTTCATCACTGAAGTGGACACCCTCTGGCTCTACAATTTTCTTTTAAAATCTGATACCTACCATTCTTCTTTTTTATTTTTAAGATTTTATTTATTTATTTGGCAGACAGATCATAAGTAGGCAGAGAGGCAGGCGGGGGGTAGAGGAGGGAGGGTAGCAGGCTCCCTGCTGAGCAGAGAGCCCAATGCGGGACTCGATCCCAGGACTTGGGATCATGACCTCAGCTGAAGACAGAGGCTCTAACCCACTGAGCCACCCAGGTGTCCCCATTACCATTCTCCTAAACTCCTCTTGTGAAGGTCATCATAAAACTTAATGCTACTAAATCCAGTAGCTTCACTAAGTCTTAACTTTATCCAACAAGGACCCCATCGAACTCTTCCTCCTCAGGCAAATATTTTCTTCACTCCACATGCATCTAGTTTTCTTCCTATCACGTATAGCTTCTTCTTAGCTTTCTTTGCTAGTTCCTCCTCATTTCCCTGATTTCTAAACATTGAAGAGCCCTAAGACATGCTGTTTAGACTTCTTCATTTTTCTTTCTCCACCTACTCTTTAGGGAGTCTTAAGCAGTCATAAGGCATTGGATGCTATTTATATGCAAGTGAATTCATAATTCTTACCCCTAGCCAGGATCTCTCTCTTTAACAGCCTCCTACCTCCTGGACATTCTTACTTGATACTTAACAGACATCTCAAATGAATTGTATCTGAAACTGAACTCCTGATCTTTTCTCTAAAACTTGCTTCTCCATCTCTACACAGGAACTCACACTTCCATCTGTTAGTCAAAATCTGTGTTAGAGTCATCCTCTATCCATCTATTTCTCTCTTAACCTATATCTAATTATCATCAAAAACTGCTGGCTCTTTGCAGTACAGACATTTTAATAATGTTTATTCTTCCAATTCATGAGCATGGAATGGTCTTCCATCTTTTTGTGTCTTCTTCAATTTCTTTCATTAGTGTTCTGTAGTTTCTCGAGTACAGATCCTTTACCTCTTTGGTTAGGTTTATTCCTAGGTATCATATGATTCTTGGTGTTATAGTAAATTGAATAGATTCTCTAATTTCCCTTTCTGTGTTTTCATTGTTAGTGTATAAGAAAGCAACTGATTTCTGTACACTGACTTTGTATCCTGCCACATTACTGAATTGCTGTATGAGTTCTAATAGTTTGGGGGTAGTCTTTTGGGTTTTCCAAAGAAAGTATCATGTCATATACGAAGAGATAGAGTTTGACTTCTTCATTGCAATTTGGATACATTTTATTTCTCTTTGTTGTCTGATTGCTGTTGCTAGGACTTCTAATACTATGTTGAAAAAGAGTGGTGAGAGTGGGCATCCTTATCGTGTTCCTGATCTCAACGAGAAGGCTGTGAGCTTTTTCCCATTAAGGATGATATTTGCTGTGGGTTTTTCATAGATAGATTTTATGAAGTTCAAGAATGTTCCCTCTATCTCTATACTTTGAAGCGTTTTAATCAGGAACAGATGCTGGATTTTGTCAAATGCTTTTTCTGCATCAGTTGAGAGGACCATGTGGTTCTTCTCTCTTCTTTTACTGATTTGTTCTATCACGTTGATTTGTGAATGTTGAACCATCCTTGAAACCCAGGGATGAATCCCACCTGGTCATGGTGGATAATCTTTTTAATGTGCTGTTGGATATTATTTGCTAGGATCTTGTTGAGAAACTTAGCATCCATATTCATCAGGGATATTGGTCTGAAATTCTCATTTTTGGTGGGGTCTTTGTCTGGTTTGGGAATCAGGGTAATGCTGGCTTCATAAAAAGAGTCTGGAAGTTTCCCTTCTGCTCCAATTTTTTGAAACAGCTTCAGGAGAATAGGTACTTTAAAATATAGCCAAAGACTTGCTCATTTCTTATAACTTCCTCTGCTACCAACTGTAGATCAACCCATCATCATCTCTTTTTTTTTTTTTTTAATTTTTAAAAAAAAAAAATTTTTTTTTTTTTAAAGATTTTATTTATTTATTTGACAGAGAGATCACAAGCAGGCAGAGAGGCAGGCAGAGAGAGAGGAGGAAGCAGGCTCCCCGAGAGAGCAGAGAGCCCGACGCGGGGCTCGATCCCAGGACTCCGAGATCATGACCCGAGCCGAAGGCAGCGGCTTAACCCACTGAGCCACCCAGGCGCCCCCCATCATCATCTCTTACCTGGATTTTTTCAACAGCCTTCTCAGTGGCTTCTTTTACTCTTGTCTCCATTATTATTTGTAATATATTAGCCAGAGTAATATTTTAAAAATGTAAGTAGAATCATATCATTTCTTTGCCTGAAAAACTTCTAATGGCTTCCCACCTTATTCAAAACAAAAGCTGGAGTCATCTGTGTAGTTCAGAAGATCCTATATAGTCTGTGTTTTGGGTATCTTTCTGGCTTCATTTTCTACCACTTTCCCCTTATGCACTCTTTTTTAGTCACACTGGCCTTCTTGTGACTCCTAGAACACACTAAAGACACTCACTCTCAGGGCATTTGTTGGTGTTTTTTCTGCCCTGAAAGCTCTTTCCCTAGATTTCCTGTTGCTTGTCCTCTTTCCTCCTTTTGACATTTCTCAAATGCCATGTTCTCAGACATGCCTTATCTAACTGCTATATTTAAAATTACTCTCACTCTACTCTCTATTGTATCCCCCTTCCCTGCTGTTTTGTGTTTTTTCTATAACATTTCCTGTCTCCTAGTGATGAAAATACTTTTGGGCATTAAAACCTTTCTGATACCTTGCAATCCATACCACTTAGCTATTTTTCTTACAAGGAAGGAAGACCTTGAATTAGATTTCAGTCATTTGTATGTCTTAAAATGTCTTTGTTCCTTTCAATTCTATAGAATCTCAGTTTTATGCCTTCAAATATGGGAAAGAATCAAACTTAGAATTACTATAGCCAACTGTAACTATAAATATTAGTTTAGTTTTTGTGGTAATCTAGAGCAAGAAATATCTATAGAAGTTAAGCATTGTATTAATATAAATATTTTCTTTGCACTTCTAGTAGAAGTATGTGTTCTTGGGCAAGAACATATGAGAGAGAGTGTGTGTGTTATGTGGTATATATGTATGTAAGTTAAAGAAAATACGGACTACTATTCACCCTACAGAAGGATATAACATGATTTTTTCCCCCCAAATCAGCGTATATGTTACTCTGTTGGGAATAGAATTTTTAGCAAAAAACTCTAACTACTAATATTGAATGTGCAGCTGACCTCAGACCCAATAGAAATTAAAATTAAATGATGTATTGTAGCAGAGAGGGTTCCCTTACTTATCATTAGATAATTATAGCTGTTCTACTTGCTTTAAAACTTTTCCTTGATGCTTCTACTCTAAATTCATTTTTGCACCTCTGGTTAATGGATTTTGGGCTATCTGTGTAGGGACAAAAAAAATCCAAGAAAACCAAACCACCTTCCTACTCAGTGACTCTGCAATGATGCATTTAATTTCCGTTTTGTGTAAAAACCATAAATTCAGGAGGTGTGGTGGCAGGGGTTCTACCATATTTTTTTTCATGTTACCACTTCTGGTAGACCTCACATGTACTCCTGTTAACCCCAAAGGTCAGTCCTTCCTATTTTAATTTTTAAGATGAGTATGATATGTTCCAAGCACAAAGGGTAAGCAAGTGATATAGTTATTGTGGAGTAGGAAACATTGGGGATCAATAAGGCTGTGTAGAAGACATTGTTAATGAGCCCTCAGAAAAGGATACTCTGACTTCAGAATTATGTCCCTCTAAGAGTATTTGTTTTTTGAAAACACTAAAATGCGTTCTACAAGGTTTTTATCAAAATGATTATGATTCTAAATGAATACACTCTAAATCTCAAATGCACTGAAAGGATGAAATAGGACATCAGAGTTTGAAAAAAAAAAAAAAAGCCAAGAACTTACCATCTGATACTTTGTGTTCACAGTTAAGCAAATCTTTACAGATTTGTGCTGGGTTATCTCGGGTGCCAAGAGGGTTCTTGATGCTGTGCAGTAAATTGCTAAGGTAGTTCAGGGTTTTGAATATCTCTGCACTGTAGTCAATTAAAGTCACTTCGGTATTCTGGTAGCTCTGCCAAGTCATCAAAGGAATCAATCAGCAAAAAAGCATAGGGAAACCATCACCAGTACGTATGTAATCCTCATGATCAACATGGACCAAGGCAGAAGAAAAATGTATCCTTGTTGTATGCAATGAGTTGGAAGAGGGGTGTAAAGAACGGTTTATATGTAAATACAGGCCTATGTGTATATTTTATTAATCTTGACCCTAAATAAGAGATTAAATTTACTCTAATGGCCTAGTTTGCAAGCTAACATAAAACTAAACAATTACTATGCCTGGTATAGTATAATGTTTTAAAGAAAATTATATTGAATAGAGTTTAAATGAGAAAAATGAGTAACAATGCTAGATCCTATTTTAAGAGGTGGCTAGGTTTCATTTAACTATTTTCTCCTACAGTATCTAATTCCTTATTAAAAAATTCCTTAAATGTATTACATTTTTGTTTTAAATGGTTTCCTTAAAAAAATCCCATGCATATATTTCTGTTTATTAAAAAATGCCTACTTTGTTCAATCTGTTTTAAGTACAATCTTTGAGATAGAGCCACATTTTGGACTCAGAAAAAACTTTCTGTTTAATTTGTATTTTGAGAGTGCCAATGTAAATAAAGCCAGATATATTACCTCCATCTGTAGGGCAGTATGTGATTCAATCAAGGCTTGAATAGCAGCATTGATATCCATTTGTTTCTGTGTAAAACAAAACCATTTGAGATTAGCAGTAACATCAACACTGAGTACTCTACAGTAAGGGCTGTAAATTCTGAAAGCAGTGCTATTAAAGTATACTAGACTTATTATCTGAAGGCCATTTGTAACTCTTACGGTTAGACAGATCTTGCAAATTTTGCCTGGATAGCTGAAAGGACAATATGCTGCCTTCATCCAAATCTCAAAAGTCTCCTAATTAAAACAGGACCAAAGTCTAGAGCCCTCAAATGAAAAACTTTGTCACTGCTACATAAAAACACACACAAAAGTTACTCAAATGGCAGAAGAATAAAATATGACCCCCTCAGTTAATAAATTGTAAAGTGAAGAATAAATAACTGTAGTAATTTATAACAGTTACATTCTTGGAAGAAAAATATAATAAAATACTACTGTCCTGAGGTAGTCACCACATTCGTCTAATCTGATACTTTTGCGGTCTTAAAAACAATTTATGAAGTTGGAAAATGCACCATTAGTCCCAAAAGAAATAATACAGCATGAAACCAATCTCCTCCTGTATTTAATAAAAGATGTTTTTAGAGAAAGCCTCACCATAACCATTAGTAAAAGTCTTTTTTGTATTTTATTTTTTAAAAAGCTTGGAAACTAAGAAGCATGAGTTGGGAGAAAGTTCTGTGAAATGGCGTCTGTGTCAACAAATCAAGCAATCTAATTTCTTTCAGAATAATTGTGTTGCTAAGATATCTTTTTACTTGGAGGGCCATACAATAAAAACTGTTTTCAACAGATCTCTCCTAACTCATGACTTGTAATTTGAAAAACTATTTAAAATGATGGGACAATCAGTAAAATTCACTCTTCCTTGCCTGAACATGTGGTTTTCATATTGGAAAATAATTGAATCATTCTGTATATATATATGTATATATATACTGGCAAACACTGTGATACATATTGAGGACAAAACAGTAAGCTCAAAGAAAACTGCCCTTGTGAAGCTGAAGTTTAAGGGAGACAAAGGCACTAGTCAAATCCTAAAACTACATAATTAACAAATTGTGATACGTGCTAATGAAAGAAAAAATGTGCTTGGACTCATTAAAGAGACTAGGGGGTTTTAGTGAAATCTGGAGAAGAGTTTTGGAAGGAATAGGTCAGGGAAGTTTTCTCTGAGATAGTGACATTTGATTTGAGATCTGAAGACTAAGTAAGAACTGTGAAGAGAGTGGGTGCGAGAGCTTTCCAGGCAGAGTAATAGCCTTGCACAAAAGCTATCAGATGGAGAAGCGTGGTCTATTCACAAAACAGAAAGGATCAGCCTTTCTGGTTCTGTGCAAAGTAATTCCAACCATCATGCCTGCGTGGATGAGCAGATTTGGGGCATGGGTCACATAAAAATATTGGCACTAAACATGGGCAACTGAATTAAATACTGAATAGTAGCCACCTTTATATTTTCCAGTTGGTTTGTGATTAAGACTTTGATCTTAGAAAAACTAGCATAAGCAATTCTCAAACTCTTCAGTTCAAGACCTTTTTGCCCTTTTAAATATTATTAAGGGCCTTAAAGAACTTTTATTCAGATGAGTTATAACTTTTGGTTTTTATCATAGTAGAAATTCAAACACAAATTTTATTTTATTTTTAGAGATTTTATTTATTTATTTGACAGAGAGAGAGATCACAAGTAGGCAGAGAGGCAGACACAGAGAGAGAGGAGGAAGCAGGCTCCCCACTGAGGGGAGAGCCCAATGCAGGGCTCAATACCAGGACCCTGGGATCATGACCTGAGCCAAAGGCAGAGGCTTTTTTTTTTTTTTTTAAAGATTTTATTTATTTATTTGACAGAGATCACAAGTAGACAGAGATCACAAGTAGACAGAGAGGCAGGCAGAGAGAGAGAGAGAGGGAAGCAGGCTCCCTGCTGAGCAGAGAGCCTGATGCGGGACTCGATCCCAGGACCCTGAGATCATGACCTGAGCCAAAGGCGGCGGCTTAACCCACTGAGCCACCCAGGCGCCCCAAAGGCAGAGGCTTTAACCCACTGAGCCACCCAGGCGCCCCGAAACACAAATTTTAAAACTATTTGTGTTAACTGCTTTAAAATAACCCATATGTTAATGTAATATTTTAATGAAACATAACTGTATTTTCCAAAAACAAAAAAAAGTATGAGAAGAATGGCACTGTTTTACACATTTGTACATATCTTTAATGTCTGGATTGATAGAAGATAGCTAAACTGTCATATTTCTTTCAGTATTCGGTCTGTTATGATATGTTATTTTAGTTGAAATGTGTGAAGAAAATCTGGCCTTAAAGAGATACACAGTTGGAAATAGAATTCTTTTATTTTATTTTATGAAAATATTTTATTTTTTTTTTATTTGAGAGAGAGCATGCCCTGGCGAATAGGGGGAGGGGTAGAAGACGAGGAAGAGGAACTAGCAGATACTCAAGATGGCACATTCCACCACCTTGAGAAGAAATAGGATTCTTTTAGTAGCCTTTTCAGATAATTGTGGATATTCTTCTTTCATAGCAAAACTTGATAAATGATAGTTTCTTAAGGGTTAGTTGAAATGTGAAATGTGAAATCAAATCTATGAACTTTTTGTGCTTTTTATATTAAAATCTATTGGTCTATCTTAAACTGTGGAAGAATCTTCTATGCATCCATGATTTTGTTAACAACATGCACTGTTTATCTAAAAAATATTGATTTATGGAGTTATGCAGCTCTTCTAAATTTGGGCACATTTCATTTTTAATACCACACAATTATATTTGTTAACATCATCGCCAATCTCATAAGAAAAATATAAGTACTGGACAGCTATCGAACAGAGTTGTAGATACAAGTTTTCCCAAATTTTTATTTTTGCTTGAAAGTTTAAGACTTATCATTGGGATCAACTTCTGTCAGTAGTTTTGTTGACATGAGAGGTTCACTTAATTCATGTTTAAGGAAATATCTGCCAAATACTCATATCTGTATAACACTGTTAGTCTGTCACATAAATATGGTGTTCTATGAAAAGAGCAGCTAGTTCAGTTTCTAACCGAAACAATTGCACAAATGCTTTTATTTGAGGCAAACACTATACTTCAGTATGCAGCAGAAGTGTTCTTCTATATGTTCTTCTATTTCATCACACAGATTATTAAAATCTATATACTCAACACTAGAGTATTTAGGAGACAGAAAAAACAGCAGAGTAATGACCTTCCAGAATTTTCTCTCCTATAAAAGCAATGAGAAAACTGGAAAAAATGTCAGGATGAAGTTTTTCAGGATTATGGAAATTAACAAAATGCTTGCAGCAATGTGAGGAGCATTTATTTAAGAAAAATAGCTGAATCTTGGGAAGGCAGTGAGCTTCATGTAATTTAGTTTGCCCTACTCCCATGTCTTCCTTTCTTTCTTCCTTTTTTCCCCATGTCCTCTTTTTCACTTCTGTAGTAGCTAAAAAACAACAGCACATAATTACAGGAAAAATAAGAAGTCACAGCCACAGGGGAACAGGATGGAGTCGGGAGTTGCTTCAGAGTCATTTCCAGTGAATTACCATTATCTGACTTGTTTGGTGGTTCCCTGGAAGACACTACTTGCAAAGCTGTCTTTATTTTATCTGACTCACAGCTCATCCAATACAAAACACCTTTTCCCTGGGAGCATTTTTCAAAAACATTTAGAGGGAATTAACTTTGTGGCTGTCTGGAGCATTGGAAAACAGTTGGGCAAACAATAAGCTAACAAAAAGCTTACAAGAAAAAGGTAGAGAATAGCATGTCCACAGAGACTCTGAAAAGCTTTGACATATTTCTGGAAATCTAGAAGTCCATGTGCATATGTAGGGTTCTACACATGCTTAGAGTATATCTAGAAGGCCCTAAGTTCTCTCCTCTGGCTTTCAGTCTCTGAAATCAGGAAGTTAAAGCTAAGTTATAGTGTTCAATTGGCTGAACAATGAAGAGGTGCTCCAACATACACAGAGACATTTGGTAAAAACTGGGAGATTTACTGATTCTGCCATTTAAGGAAATCTCATTCCAATTGTTAGTTGGCCACTAAGGTAGTTGAGTAGACTTTAATGGTCACACATGTTGAAGAATACAGACGTTATAATATTCAGAAAAGTCACTAAACAAATAGCAACAAAAATAAACCCATTTTATTTCTAGAAATGCTACATTACATTATTTACAATGTATAATTTTCAACCACCACCACAACAAAGACATGCAAATAAACATTAAAGTATGGATCATAAGCAAGCAAAAATGCAGTCAATAGACAGAAACTTCTCCTGAGGGAGCCCAAATGTTGTATTTAGTAGACAAAGATGTTTATTACTTATTTTAGATATGTTCAAAAAACTAAAGGAAACTACTTCTATAGAACTAAAGGAAAATATGAAAAAAGACCTCTCACAAATAAAGAATATCAATTGAAAAAAAAATAGAAATTATGGAAAAGAACCAAATAGAAATTCTGCAGTTGGAAGGTACAAACAATGAAATGAAAATTTACTAGAGAGGCTCAACAGTAGATTTCAGTAACAGAAGAATCAATGAACCTGAAGACAGGTATATTGAGATTTTCAAGTCAGAAGAGTATAAAGATAAAAGATGAAAAAAATAAACAGAGGCTCTGAAACTTAAGGAACACAAACAAGAATAAATTAATAGAATTACTAAATGACCCAGCTAGTCCAATTCTGGGTATGTATCTGAAGAATAAAAAAATGCTAATTTGAAGACATATATGATCCCTATATTCACTGCAGCATTATTTACAATAGACAAGAAATGGAAGGAACCTAAACCACCTGAAACTAATACAGTGTTATCAATTATACCTCAATTTAAAAAAAAAAGGAATAGCTGAACATTTGATGAGAAACATTAACCTACAAATCCAAGAAGGTCAGTGAACTCCCCAGACACATCATAATCAAACTGTTGAAAGCAAAGGAAAACAGAGAATCTTGAGAGCAGAAAGAGAGAAGACT